ACCCAGGTGCAGACCAGTGTGTGGACCTTGTCCTCAAGCAACATTGAGAACACAAGGGGTGTAAACAGGGGCTGGGGAGATGGCTCAGTACAATAAGCACTTCCCTGGCAAGTGCAAGGGCCTGAGTTCAATCCCTGGTGCCACAAAAAAAAAAAAAGGGTTATAAACAGATCACCACCACTGTGAGACTGGGGGTCTTGCCCTTGGTGATGCTAGCGACAGAACCAAAGGCCTCACACATGTCAAGCATGCACTCTACCTTTGAGTGCATTACCAGCCCTAAGTATGGGTTTTTAACTTGTCATTTATAGTACCGACAAATGCCAGTAATTTCATTAGACTAATTTATCCTCAAAACTGAGTGGCTCCCAACAGTCACCATTTTATTTGCTCAAAGTTCTGGGAGTCAGCAATTTAGGCTGGTCTTGACGGGGGTCGTTCACACACTTTGGAGCCATCTCACTGCTTTCCCCAGATTCAAAGGTGCCCTCTGGCCAGATGACCCAGGCTTCTTCATAGGGTAGCAGGAATTACTTAACCAAGACTAAGTGATCTAAGCTTCTTCCCTTATTAAACTGGGACTAAGCGGGGTATGGTGGAACACGCCTGTAATCCCAGCACTGGAGAGGCTAAGGCAGGAGGATCATTAAGAGTTCAAGACCTGGGCCGGGGAGATGGCTCAGTGGAATAAGCGCTTTCCTGGCAAGCGCAAAGGCCCGAGTTCAATTCCCGGCTCTGCAAAAAAAAAAGAGTTCAAGACCAGTCTGGGCTATTAAGTGAGCTCAAGGCCAGTCTGAACTGCAGAGTGAGACCCTATCTCAAATAGGGGGAAAAAATGTGGGGGGACCTACAAAGGAGTATCTCCTAGGGTTTTGAGAGGATTAAAAAACAACAAAGTAAAAAAAAAAAAAAAGTATGTAAACCAATGTTTTCGTAGCATGGTCCTGGCTCAAGTGTTCAAACACACTGGTAAATACTGCCATTGTTATTAATTAGACATTAAGGGTAACTGCAGTTTCTGGCTTGGGCAGTACGGTAGATGGTACTGATGTTTGGAGATGAGGAATGCATAAGAGAACAACAGGTTGAGAAGCAGGAAAAGTGGTGATCAGAGCTGGCCACTGAGGGCTCCTCTTGCCTTTCTTCCACCCAAGCCCCTCAAATCCTGAGACCTTCTAATTCAAAGGTTTTTATCTAGGGGTTTACAGATAGATTTGAGAGGGCTGAAGTACAGCTCAGTGATAAAGTGTTTACCTTGCAAGTATAAGGCCCAAGGTTCAACCCTTAGCAGTGCAAACATATTTATGCATTTATTTAAGGTTTTTGGTGGGGGAGGAATATTCAAATCCCTGAGTGATGTGTAAACTGCTATAATGATCTCCAAGATGGGTCAAAACTTTTTACAGAGGAAGAGGTTGTAATGGAGATTAGACCCAGGCTCCTAAATATGCTGAACAAACCCTTTTTTATTTTAAGACAGAGTCTAGAGGCCGGGGAGATGGCTTAGTAGAATAAGCGCTTTCCTGGCAAGTGCAAGGATCTGAGTTCAATCCCCAGTTCCACAAAAAAAAAAAAAAAAAAAAAAAGACAGGGTCTAAGTTGTCCAGGGTGGCCTCAAATTTACAACCCTCCTGTCTTAGCCTCCCATGTACCTGTAATTATAGCAGTATGCCAATGGGTCCAGTAGGCAAAAGCTTTTATACATTTTTTTAAATATCTGACATGCAATTTTTCTGCCTCAACCTCCTAAGCAGCTGGGATAACAAGCATGAGCTACCTTATCCAGCCAAAATAAAGTTTAAGATGACAATGCAAAGTACTAGCAAGGATATAGAGAAATTGGAACTCTCTCATACATTAGTAAGTAGGATGCAAAAAATGTTCCAGCCACTTTGTGGTTTATACCCATGGAACACAAGTCAGCAATAAAAAGGAACCATCAATAGCATTTCTCAAAAGAATTATACAGAACTATATTGGAGAAGTTTAGTGTACTGAGCAGGGTCTTTGGCTGAATTACTCTGATCTGTGTGAAGAATCTTCGCTTTGGGAAAACTCAAATCAGAAGTTCCCAGGAGGGTTTTCATGCTACTCTGAACATGAACTCAAGCCACACACTAATAACCAGTTAGACTAGTTGCAAACTATCATTAAGGAAAATGATCCTGGATGTTACCAGAGGACGGTACAACTCTATTTATTTATTTTATTTTTATTTTTTTGCAGAACTGGGGATTGAACTCAGGCCCTTGTGCTTGCCACGGAAGCACTTATTCTACTGAGCCATCACCCTGGCCCCGGTACGACTCTAAACAGACATAAATTTCAGTATGCTTATTTTGTCCAAGAGTGAAAAACTACACATCCACATATCCCAAAGATAAATATGAAGCTTTGGCAATGTGGTTGTAAATCAACTCTGCCTTCTACAACATGAAATTCTAAAAAGGCAAAATACAGTGACAGAAAATCAGTGGTTACCTGGGATCTGGAACAGAAGGAAATGAGTACAAAGAAGCATAAATATTTTAGAAGACAGAATTAATTTCTACATTTTGATGGTAATCATGGGTACATTATCATACACAATTACCAAAACTTATTAAACAGAGCTGGGAATGTAGCTTAGTGCTAGAGTACTTGCTTAGGATGCACAAAACCCTACATTCCATCTCTAGCACTGACCCAAAAAAACAAACAAACAAAGCTTTCAATAAACAGCACATTAAAAAGTGACTAGAGTTAGGCATGATGGCAGATACCTGTAATCCCATTACTATAGGAGGCTGAGGCAGAAGGATCACAGTTTGAGCCTAACCTAGGCGATTTAATGAGAATCTGACTCAAAATAAAAAATGGCTAGGGATACAGCTCAGCGCAAGGCCCTGAGACCAATGTCCAGTCCCCTCAAAATAAAACTGATGGATTACACAGTATATAAGTAGTAATAAAAAGTTTTTTCAGGGGGCCGGGGAGATGGCTCAATAGAATAAGCACTTGACTGGCAAGTGCAAGGGCCTGAGTTCAATTCCTAGTTCTGGAAAAAAAATTTTTTTTTCAAAAACAATATGGTGATAGCTGGGTATGGGTGGTGCATGCCCATAATCTCAGAACTCAGGAGGCTAAGGCAGGAGGATTGTCACAAGTTTAAGGCCAGTCTCAGCTACATAGTAAAACTCTGTCTCAAAAAAAGGTTGATCTTAAACTCATAGAGAGCCTCCTGCCTCTGCCTCCCCCCAGTGCTGGTATTACAGATACAGCCCACCATGCCCAGCTCACTTAGCATACTGCTAAAATTCATCCATATTACTATGTATCAGAATAGTTCATGTGTTTTGACAACTGTGTGATACTCCACTACATCAAGTTTATTCATTCTCTGGCTCATAAGCATTTGTATTGTTTCTACGCTTTTCTGCTTTTGTGAATAGGGATGCTATGAGAACTCTTTATATAGATCCTGGTATACATATATAAATTTCTCTAGGATTTATCCCTAGTATTGGAATAGCTGGGATATAGGGTAGGTAAATTATAGGAGATAAACTATTTTTCAAACGGTTGTCTGCCTTTCTCAGCTGAGTCTATCTGTCCCCCATTAGACAGTGACTCCGGGGCTAGGAAATTGCCTCCCTTTGAACGAGTACTCCTTAGAATTCAATCAGCATTAGGCTGGATCTCCAAGAGGCCAAGGGTAGAAATCTAGGTAACAGACCTCTCAGCCTTAGCAGAATAAATAGCCGGCAGGAGTATGTACAGAATAAACAGCAGGCAGGGCTAGGCATGGTGGCACACAGCCATAATCCCAGCAGCACTCAAGGCTGAGGCAGGAGGATCACTCAGAGTTTGAAGCCAGCCTGGCCTACATAGTGAATTCAAGGCCAGCCTGAACTACATAATGACACCTTGTCTTAAGAAAACAAAATTAATTAAAAATTAATAAACAGAAGGGACTATATGCATAGAGGCTGGTTAGGGTTCCACTCAGAGTACTAACAAAGCTTCCTAGGCCCATCGTTCTACCTTCACTTGATCTCTGGAATGCCATCCAGGGCCCTCAATCACAACACAAATCCTGATAAAAAACTAAGGTTTAACTTCTGCTAAAGATCTTCTCAACTGACACCTCTAAGAATGTCAAATAACAATTAGCACAAAAGGCATAAAGGACAAAAGGAATAGAAAAAAAGACAAAGGAGAGGGACATGAAAAGTAGGAAGAGCCAAGACACATTCAGATATCATAAAACTATACACCACTGTCTGCACATGGCTAAAAAAATTAATAAAAAAAAATCCACAGAGACCATAAGCAAGTTTTGTTTTGTTTTTGAGAGGGTCTCACTATGTAGTTTAGGCTGGTCTTGAACTCAATATGTAGCACAAGCTGACTTGGAACTCAGCATGATCCTCCTGTCTCGGCCTCCTGAGTGTTGAGATAATAGGCATAGGCCACCACGTATAAGCAGGTTTTAAAGCCATGTCATAAATAAATATATATATATATCATGTCATTAAGGTTATCTTCTTCAGGATAATGTTAGAAAAACATAACTACATAACCATCACGTACTCAGTAAATTATGTAATGTTGCCCTCAAAAACAAACTATGTGCTTACAATGTAGTTAGAGTATTAATGAGTCCTGGAATATTACAATATACACAAAATAAACAATGCATAGCTTATGTAAAAAAAAAAAAAAAAAAAACTATGTGAAGTGAAGCCAGGTAGTACTGGGAAGAGCACAGGGATATGGAGGTGGGCCATAGGACAGCACCAGAGCTCAGCCATAGAGTAGAAACAAGAACAAAAACTGCACAAGACCTTGGGTTCAATACTTCATACTACAAAACACTAGGAGATTCCTAGGTATAAAAGCAAAAAGTAGCCAGGCATGGGGGCACACACCTGTAATCCCAGCACTTCGGGGCTGAGGGAGGAAAATCACTGAGAGTTCAATACCAACCTGGGCTACAAACTGAGCTCAAGGCTAGCCTGAGCTGCACAGCAAGACCCTGTCTCAAAAACACAAAATTAATTAATTAATTAATTGCAAAAGGCAGTGAATTCCCAAGTGCTCGAACAGTTTCCTAGTTCCTTTCTCCTATAGGAACTCATGAAATGCCTACTGCTAGATGAAGGAACAAAGAAAGAAACCCAAAAAGAATATGACATCTCTATAGCAGAAGCAGCTTCCCCAGCCACACAGCAGTGTGTATCACCAGTAACAGAAGGAACAGCCAGAATTACTCAGCTCAGCAGAGCTTTCTCAGTATGTAAGAAGTTATCATGCACCAGCTTAACATATTTAGTAACCTGCTACTGAAATTAGATCATAACTCACATGGGGAAGATTGCTTGACCTGTCATCTAATCAAGTGGAACTTACCTCAAGTGTTAGAGGGGATCTATAACCAGAGATCTGTAACCAGGCTGAGGTCCTGGGCTTACATACCTTGGAGCTAGTATTTAGCAGCTGCAGCTGGGAACAAAAGGGACTGTCACAGTACCTGGACAGACATAAAGCTCCCAACAATAGCCCCAGATCTATAGAGCTTCAACAATTTTATTGGCTAACTGCTTCTTCCTAAATACACAGTTTACAATGTGGGCTTGCTCACCAGTTCTTCCTTCTAACCCTCAAAAGGAGTAGGAAACATTAGCACAGATGTGGAGATGAGACAGAGGTATAAGTGAGCTAGAAATCTGCTGATGCTCCACAAATGGACATCCTACTTGCTACTGCTTAAAACTGTCTTCAGAAAAACTGGAAGAAGATGGAGGCAGGACCCAGAGTGTGTATCTGCCAATGGTCTTGGTTTCTGGTACCACCAACAGAATACATCCTTTGTCTTCCTATTTCAGTAACAGGGTGATGCTATGTTAGCCTATGCAGTTTGCAGAAGTACATAGGCCCAAAATTGGCCATCAAGTTTGGCAATACCAGCTCTCCAACCTGGCAGGACTGAAAGAAACAGAATGTGTCCATGAAAAGCTTTCGGAAGTGAGACAGGTCTTCCACCTGAACCTTGATGCTGTATTGGTTTGCGAGAAGCTCGATGGTGCCTTCCACCACATATTCATTCTGTAAATGCGAGAGGGAGCAGGTGGAGTAGACAACATGGCCTCCTGGTCTGGTAGCAAGAAGTCCAGCCCTGAAAACAGAAAAAGAAAAAAGCAATGACTAGTGGGCTTCCCAGTGTTAGAAGGAACAAATAAAGAGGTACAAAGGTAGGGTAGTCTACTCCACAATGGGTAGCTGAATTAGTCCCTTAAGTCCCCTCTATGATGACACCGTCTAAAAACTTATCCTCAAGCCAAACAGCAATTCAACCTTATTCCATGAACTCTCCTCTAGGAAGCCTTCCTTTGTATTCTGACTCTGGTTATGGACTAAACCCTGAAGCTGGCTATATCCCATGCCTTAATAATTCAATTTCTTTTCTTTCCTTTCTCTTCTTTTCCTCTCCCCCTCCCTTGTTTTATTTAAAAAAGGGTCTCTACAGTCAAGGATGGCCTTGAACTTGTGGCAATCCTCTTGTCTCAGTCTTCCCTGAGTGCTGGTATTACAGGCATATACCACCACACCTAGCCCTTTCCTTGCCCAGATGTTTTTTTTTAAGAAGCTGTCTCAGTACTTTGCCCAGGCTAGAATCCAGGCCAGCCCCAAACTCAGGCTCATGTGATCCTCCTTCCCAGCCTTGCAAATAGCAGAGATTACAGGTACACACCACTGAGTCTGGCAATAGTTTCAAATATGCAAATTACTGGTAATGAGGGCAAAACAGCATGAATAAATTTGTGCTGGGCATCCTGGCATGTCCTACCAAATAGAGCTTTTAATATTTCAGAGGACTGGGCTGGTGAGGTGGCTCAGTGGTCTAAAGCACCTACTTAGAACAAGCTTGGCAAAGCATAGGGACCGCGGTTCAATCCCCCAGCACCACATGCCAGCCAGCCCTGCCCCTTGGTGGGCTGAGCTGGCCACACACACACACGCACACACACACAAATAAATAAGTAAATTAAATTTAAAAAAAAAATATCTCAGAGGACTATCACATGTCTCCTACAGGAAAATCTCCAGCGATAAGACCTTTCCATCAGTGACGGTCTTGGCAAAAGCTTCGGGTCCCTCCATTCTCCAAAAAGGCCAGACTCCCAGAGCACTCTGGCACAAATCCTTGAGTTTTTATTAATCTATCACTCACGCAAGTAGCTGCATTTGCAGCATAGGCAACATCTGTCGCTCCTTCCTTCTTGACCGTTGAAAAATGTTATTTTCATCCTCATAAAGCGAGTGTCGGTCTGTGGTACAGGGCACATCTACCAGCACCTGCTTGGAGGAAAAGGATGAAGCATTAAGCTCCTTAAAGGCTCTTCCTACTGAGGCCACAGCTGTCTCAGACCCTTGGCCTGGAAGGTTCATGGAATGTTATCTCTGCCCATTCCTCCATTTCTGAGAACCTAACAAAACTATTCATTTTAGCCTTTCAGACAACTGTGAAATAATGAGTGGGAAAACAGTATATTCAGCATATTTGTGAATGGTCAAAAAGCCCAAACCAACGAACAAGTAAGTGTAAAATTAAAGAACTAGTATCAACTGAGTGTTTCAGGGCTTTGTCCTTACCTGCTTGGATGAAAACATTCAGTTCATACATAGTACAATGCTTAATTTTTTTTTTTCTTTTTTTTTTTTTTGGTGGTACCAGGGATTGAACTCAGGACCTTGTGCATGCCAGGCAACCACTTATTCCATGGAGCTATCTCCCCAGCCCCCACAATGCTCAATTTACAGACAATATCAAAGAACAAAACCCAGATTCAAAATTAAATTAAAACATTTAAAAATGTTTTACAGACTGGGGAGATAGCTCAGTAGAATAACCACTTGCCTGGAAAGCGCAAGGGCCTGAGTTCAATCCCCAGTTCCGCAAAAAAAAAAAAAAAATGAAAAAAAAAAAAAAAAAAAAAAGAGAAATCCTATAAATGTTTTACAGGAGAATCACTGAGTTCAATCTACATAGTGAGACCCTGTAGATCCGATAAAAAAAAAAAAAAAAAAAAAAGAGAAATCCTATAAATGTTTTACAGGAGAATCACTGAGTTCAATCTACATAGTGAGACCCTGTAGATCCTATACCAAATACTTAAAAAAAGAATTAAAAAAAGAAGTTTTAAAGTAAGAAATGTAAAGTCACTAATAGCATACTGTGTACTATGCACTAAAGAAAAACAAAATTTTAAAAAAATTGTTTAAAAAAGTAAAAATCATCTTTGGAAAAGATGTTTCAGTTAAGCAGAATTAGTTAATGGGGATGTCCAAAGAAGAACCACTGTGATGTTCTAGAAAACATCTCATAGAAGAATTTAATACCCTTTATTTCTGTTAATATAGTAAATTAGATATACTAAAAACTGTTATAAAACTTCAAACGGCTTGGTAAAATGTATTTTAAAAATATGTTCAGGGGCTGGCCAAATAGCTCAGCAGATTAAAGTGCCTACAAGCAGGTGCAGGGGCTGGGGTTCAATCCGCAGGGCACACTGAGATGGCAGTTTAGACTGGGCGTGGTGGCATGCACCTGTAATCCCAAACTCTTGGGAGGCTGTAAACAGGCGGATCACTACAAATCTGATCTAGTAGTGAGATCCTGAACACCCTGTAGACCCTTCCCTAAAATACAAATAAATAAATAAAAGAAAAATATGTTCAAAGGTACCATTTAAAGTTTACAAAAACCTCCAGAGGAAAAAAATCAATAGGAAAATATATCCAAGGAGGTATGTAGGAGCTAAAATTAATGGCTTCTTGGGTTCTTTTGAGTATAGTCCTAGGGACTGAACACAGAGACTTCATACTCAGTAACATGTCCAGCCCTTTTTCAGTTTGAGATTGATTCTTGCTAATTCACTAAACCGCCCAGCCTAGACTGTCCTCTGCTATCCTCCTTCCTCATTCTACTAGGGTGCTGTGCTGAGATTACGGGCATGTGCTACCACACCCAGCTAATGGTTTATGGGTTTTTGTTTTTTACTAATTTCTATTAACAAGGATTTTTTTTTTTCCCCTCTGAATGCCTTCAGGGCAGGTTTGGCCTGCTGGTGTTGTGGGGATCCAACTACAGCAACCTGAGGCTGACAGCTTTGTGGAAGCAGCCACTTAAAGAACTGAGCTGGGGCCAGGCCCCCAATTTCTATTAATAAAAAGCCTAGAAGGACAAAAAACAGCATTTCCCATATGAGGTGAGAAACTGGAATGAAGACCCACACCAAAGCCAAATATTCACAGAGCTGGCAAGTAAGCAAGTAACTTCTGCTTTGAGTTGGGCCCTGAAATTTAATACCCTAGATACAAAGGAAAGCTGGAAAAAGAACAGCCTTCACAAAAACCAACCTTGAATCAGCTTACACTCTGAGCAAATTAAGATGATATGCCTTACTGTTAAGTGTTTCCCTGAAGCAAACTCATTTTTTTTTTTTAAAGCAAGCTAGCAGCATCTACAGGCTCAAATTATCCTTACAATTCTTTCCACACAGTGTTGGCAATCAAAATTAAAAATTACTGGGGCCAGGGAGATGGCTCAGTGGAATAAACGCTTCCCTAGCAAGCACAAGGGCCTGAGTTCAATCCCTGGTTCAAAAAAAAAAAAAATTAAAAATTACCAATTTACCAGAAGATAAAATTCAAATCATAAAAAAACCAAGAGAAACTGGGAATGGTGGCTCATGCCTGTAAGCCCAGAACCTGGGAACCTGGGAGCCTATGGCACACAGCAAGACTGTGTCAAAAACAACAAAAAACCCCAAGAGGCCACCGTGTTTGCTCTTACATAGTGTTCTCAGGCTATAGGATACACTTCTGTTACTATTCTTGGCCCAAACTCACTCTGCAGAGCTCCTTTTTCCTACCTTTAAGACGACTTTGCCAACATTTTGCTTGTCTTGACCTATTCTTTGCTCAGGACAAAAAGAACCTAGAAACCATGTCCAGAAGGAGACCAGCTCCCTAAAACCTTAACTTCTTTGGCTTATCCAGTCAAGAGCAGCAAGTAAGGTCCACTTGGCTACAATTTTTGCTTCTCTATAAAATACCATGCAGTTTTTTTTTCCCCTTTCCCTGTCTGTCCCCTAGGCAGAGGTACTGAGGAGACTCTTCTCATGACACAGAGAGCTGCTGCCTGCTTTTCCATCTGTATGGACTGGCTGGGGAGGAAGATGCATACATGGCCTCTGTGTTTTTCTTCCACTTGTAGGCCTACAGGCCTGGTGGAAGATTATCTCCTCTTTTCTCTTTGCAACTTTTGGTCAGTCACTGCAGATACAAGCCAGTAAAGAACAGCCAGAGAGCCTGTTATCAACCCCACTGCAGAGCAGCTCATTCAGGTGCCACTTTTAAAAGGAGCTACCTGGTAACAGAAGTGTTGTGCAGTGGCAGAACATGTGTTCAGTGTGCATAAGGCCCTCAGTTCAATCCTTAGTACTACATATACAAACAAAAATATAGCAGAATAAGACTCTTATATAAGAGACTGAATACTGAAATCATCAGAAAAAGTGTTTCAAAAAGTCACAATTGGACCATGGAGATAGCTCAGCAGTCTAAGCGCCTACTTAGGAAAGTACAAGGGTCTGAGTTCGATCCCTGGCACCACATGCTATGCCAGCACTGCCCCATGTGCACTGAGCTGGCCACCAAGACTGGGCATGGAAGAATATGCTGTAATCCCAGTGATGGGGAGGCTGAGACAGAAGGATCACTATGAGTCTGAGCTGCATAGTGAGATCCTGTACACAAAATTTAAAAAAACTTAAATCATAATTAGTATGTTAAAAAGTTAAGACTGAAGGGCTGGTGAGATGGCTCAGTAGTCTAAAGCACCTACTTAGAACAAGCTAATCTAAGCAAAGCACAGGGACCACGGTTCAATTCCCCAGCACCACATGCCAGCCAGCCCCGCCCCCTGGTGGGCTGAGCTGACCATACACACACACTAAATAAAGAAAGAAAGAAAGAAAGAAAGAAAAGAAAAAAAAAGTTAAGACTGAGAAACAGTTTCTACAAAACTGGAAATTTAAAAAAATAATCAGAAATCCTAAAACTATAAAATATAATAACAAACTAAGAATTCAATAGATATATTTAATTGCGTATTAGAGTTGAGAAAAAGGCCTAGTGAATTAGGTGAAAATATTCAGATTGAGTCATGAGAAAAAAAAATAAGCAGGGGCTGGGGAGATAGCTCAGTAGAATAAGCACTGGCAAGTGCAAGGGCCTAAGTTCAATCCCTGGTTCCACGAAAGAAAGAAGGAAAAAAAGAAAGGAGGGACGGAGGGACGGAGGGAGGCAAGGAGGGAGGGAGTAAAATATAGGGGATAGTGAATTAGATAAAAATAAAATATTCAGCTGGGCATGGTGGTGCACACCTGTAACTCCAGCACTTGGGAGGATGAAGCAAGGAGATCACAGAAAGTTCAATGCCAGCCTGCGCTACATAGTAAGTTCAAGACTAGCCTGAACTACATAGTGAGACCCTGTCTCCAAAAAATCAATCAATCAAATACTCGGACTGAATCATAAAAATATGGGATGGAACTACAGAAAAGTACAAAATACAAAAAATAGGGGTGGTGTGGCATGGTGGAACACACTTGTAATTCCAGCACTTGGGAGGCTGAGGCAAGACTGCCACATATTTGAGGTCAGCCTGGGCTACACAGTGAGTTCAAGCCCAGCCTGAATTACACTGTGAGACCCTGTCTGAACAAAACAGAAACTTGAAGTGGATATCCTAGATTAAGAATTACTCACTCGGTCATAAGTGTCCCCTTCCAGTTCTCCCCACTTCCTTCCATCCCAGGAAGTAACTCGAACTTGATTTCCTTCCCTGATATCTTGAGGCACATAGTTTTGAAGGACCTTTTGTAGTCTACCTGTGCGAGACGTAGAGAGATCGTTGGCAGCAAGATTGCCTGTGGGAATAAAAATATTGAGCTAGGGATATAGTTCAATGGTGGAGCACTTGCTTAGCATACACAAGGCTCATAGTTCAATTCCGAGGAAGGGAGGGAGGGAAAGAATGAAAGAAAGATAGAAAGACAGACAGACATCCCACCAGGAACGATGCTGTGGAAATTCACATTAATGCTCAGGCAGAGCCAATCAATGCAGACCCTATGGATAGGGATTTTTATTCTGTACATGGCACCATATCAACTCTTTAGATTGTCAAGGCAGACAACTACAGGGCACATCCACCAGCACCTGGTGGCCAAGAAAGACTAAGTAAATAAAGGAGGCCAACTAAGAATACTTATTTTTAAGCACTGGCCAAATAGCCTCAGTGGATTAAAGTGCCTTACAGGCAGGGCCACCCATGTCAGCCCCACCCCCAAGGAGCACTGAGATGGCAACTGAGACTGGGCGTGGTGGTGCACACCTGTAATCTCAGCTCTTGGGAGGCTGTAAACAGGCAGATCACTGAGTCCGATCTAGTAGTCAGACCCTGAACACCCTGTAGACCCTTCCCTAAAATACAAAAAAAGAGAAGAATACTTATTTTTAGCAGGATTTGGTGGTACAGGTCTGTGATCCCAGCATTTGGGAAGCTGAGGTAGGAGGATTATGGCGAGTTCAACACCAGCCTGGGCTACATAGTGGGTTCAAGCCCAGCCTGAACTGCATAGTGAAACCGTACTCAAAAAGAAAAAAATAAAATAAAATAATATGTGCACCACCATGCATACCTTTTTTTGGAAACAGGACCAAACTGGCCTCAAAACTCTGGGCTCAAATGATCCTCCTATTTCAGTATCCTGAGTAGCAGGGACTACAAGTGCATACTACCACACCCAGGAACCCAGTATTCTTGGGGCTGTTTTTTTTTTTTTTTTTTAACAGTCTCACTGTCTGAAATTCAGGCGGCCTTGAACTTATTATGGAGCCAGGCTGGCTTTGAATTTGCATTAATTCTCCTGCCTTAGTCTTCCAAGTGTTAGGATTAGCCAACACTCCTGGGGAACCCACTATTCCTGAAACTGTTTTTTCTTTCTTGTAGTATTCAAGATTAAATTCAGGGTCTTTGCACTGAGCTACATCCCTAGTCCTTTTTATTTTTATTTTGAGACAATGTCTTGCTGAATTGCTCCAGGCTTGAATTTGTGGTTCTCCTGCCTCAGCCTTGTAAAGGCATGTACCCAGCTTCATTTCATTATTTTTCTTTTCTTTTCTTTTCTTTTTTTTTTTTTGCGGAACCAGGGATTGAACTCAGGCCCTTTTGCCTACCAGGGAAGCATTTCATATTTTTCAACAGAAATAAATTTAAGAGTATCTCTCAGCTGATACTCAGTTTAAAGACAACAGGAGAGGTGGGAACTGGAGATTATACCTAAACTTTATGCAACATGAACCAGTATAATGTCCCTGCAGAGAAATGTCCCAATTTTCTTTTCTTTCAGCACTGAGGACTGAAACCAGTCTTTGCACTAAGCTATTCACCCTTAATTTTTTTTTTTTTATTTTGAGGTAAGATCTCATTAAATTGCTAAGCAGACTGGGCTGGTCCTGAACTTAGAATCATTCTGCCTCAGCTTTTCAGAGTGCTGGGATTACAGGTGTGTGTTACCATGCCCAGCTAGAAATGTCCCATTTTTTTTTCCCCCTAAACTGGGAATTGAACTCAGGCCCTTGCGCTTGCCAGGGAAGCACTTATTCCACTGAGCCATCTCCCTGGCCATAGAAAGGTTCCAATTTTTGAAGGTACCAAATAGTGTAAAAATCAGATTCTCTGCTCTAGAGGAATTTCTAGGAGAAAAGAAAAGATATGTTCCACTTCTGGCTCTACTTTCAACTCTTGTAAAATTTAAGTTTTATAATCTCACTAAAGTTGTTTCCCCGTTTATAAAATAGGAGAGCTGGACAAGGTAAACGCTTTTTTTTTTTTTTTCCGGAACCAGGGATTGAACTCAGGTCCTTTTGCTTGCCAGGCAAGTGCTTATTCCACTGAGCTATCTCCCTGGCCCCATGGTAAACTCTTAAATTCCCTTCTTACATCAAAATTCTGTGATCCTGTTTTCCTAGGATCAGCAGGTCAGTCACTTGGGTGAGAAGCCAGATGAAAGACAGGTGCTGGTAACTCAGCAACTCTCAATCCTATCTCCTTTGCTCTTTTCTGTCTTCTTAGCTCAAGTTTTTCCAATGCCAAATTACCTTACCCTCCATCTATCTCCCTTTGGAAGGATCCTACAGCACTCAGGCAGATCAGCTGTGCTCTCCTTTGTGGGTGTTCCCATCTTTTCTCCTCTGTCTCTGCACTTGTAGAAGTCTGAGACTAGGTATGATAGCTCCCTGAATCAGCCAAGGGCCTACAATGAGGCTGGAGGCTAACTTGAATTGTGCAAGCTGACTGACAAGAACTGGAATAGAAGGATTTAGGGCCAACAGAAAGGCTCAGGCACATAGCAAGAGAAACCTGGTAGAGCTCCAGGTTGGATGTGAAAATCACAGCCCTCCATGCTACTTCTTAGATTCTCCCCTGCCCCCCTCAAAAAAAATTGTGCGCTTTTAAAAAATTGTACAAAATAAACCAGACACACACGTGTAAATATCATATAGTTTCCCTAGTATAAGAACTCAAAAGAAGGGGCCAGAGAGATAGCTCAGTAGAATAAGCGCTTGCATGGCAAGCACAAAGGCCTGAGTTCAATCCCTGGTTCCGCCAAAAAAAAGAACTCAAAAGAAGAAATATAAATAGAAAGGTATAATACAATTAAAAGGAAAGCAAGCACTTGAGGACTAGACAATGAAGAGAGAGCAAGGAGAAGAGCTAGGAAACATGACAGAGGCAAGCCATACAGTTATATGTACAAGATGGGTAAGGCAATGATCCTGAGTATCTTCAGAAGATTTTCGAATCTAGCAGTTAATTGGAAGGATTCTCACCTTGACTAACTATATATACTGACACCTGTGAACTAAGCAACTGCACTGAAGATGGCAACTTGTAATAGTAGGTTCATGCTTGGAGTGCCTGTCATTCTGGTCTTCTGAATACGTGCGGCTTGTGATGACATGCCAGTTGCTGCCATGCTGTCTCTCCGGTAGATGATTGTTTAAAAAGGAAGGGGATGGTGAATGAAGGCAGGAGACAGGAAAAGAAGTAATGCAGGACTGTCCTGATACAATGTTGTATATGGTTAGATTTCTGGACTTACGTGTAAACATATATAATTTGTCATTCCTATTTTTTAAATGTTTTTTTTTT